ACATTTGGGGAGAATTTGTGATGTTGTCACATGCACACAATGACCACTCTTTGCCATTAATTCCTGCAACTGCTTCAGAGTTGCTGTCAGCCTCTTGGTAGCCTCTCTGACCAGTTTCCTCCTGGCTCTTTCATCCAGTTTGGAGCGACGTCCTGATTAAGGGTTGTGTTGTACCAAATACCTTCCACTTCCACTAATATTTCACTGTGCTTCTAGGCACTGATAAAGCCTTTGACTTTTCTTTTGTATCCATCTCTTGACTTGAGCCTGTCCTCAACTTTATTCCTGAGATCTTTTGACAGTGCCTTGCCACCCATAGTTGACTGTCGCCCTAAAAATGACTTGTAATTGTCCTGTGAACGGAACAGGACTGGACAACTGGTTGTGTCACATCATACAGTGTGCGAGAGAGAGCTGCTCTGCTGCACAAACACGTGTTTACCGGGTGTTGCATGTTTTCATGTCTGCTGTAGGATCTCTGTCTTCGAACGGACCCACTTACACTATTGAGTCCATTTAACACATAAATTGCTAAATCCGATAAACAGAAAGTGACAGATTAAGAGCTCTCTGTCCAGGAGAAGAATAGCAGACTCCCAACTCGTGACATGGGCATGAACTCAGGACACCTCCCCTTTTCCCCCCTGCATTCCAAAAAAAAGGGACGCATCCTTTTACTACCTTCCAGAAAAGCATGCGAGATCCCTTGCTACCTAGCTCGTAGCTTACTTATAATAATTACTATAATAGCTTACTTATAATAATTGTATTGACCGTGGCCAGGGAAATACAAAGATTCAAGTTGTTAAAATATACTAAGAATCACCGGCTCGCTGGACGACCCTTGATTTAAAGTGTAAACTATCAGATTTGAACTCAGTTTAATCAGGTTGACTCAGAATTTTCAGATTCGAGTCCTTTCAAAACCTGAGCTAGAAATAATAATAATAATTAATTCCCTTACAAATGAGTTAATTTCATGACACTGCTTTCAGTAACTTACAGTGACGGAGAAATGAGCTGTTTGTCATCTGAATGTTTTAGATCCAGTCTCCACCGGAGCCGTCAGTTTTGTGTTCTGCACGCGACTCAAATGCTCCGCTCTCCAACCAAATATAAAAGCTGCTGCCGGTTAATGAAGGTTTGACAGATGAACTCGCATCTCGATTGGACTCTTGTCATGTCAGAAAGTGATAAGACTTTAAATTTCATGGATGTCGCCATCTTTGATATTACTTTGGTCACTGTTGCTATGGTTACTGGTAAGGAATACGGGCTTGACCCCCGTTGCACGTTCATACAGACGCTACTGTAAGCTGCTATGTGAATGGGACATTTCGAGACTCACACTTGTAAGTAAATGCATTTTTCAATCCCAAAAACTGACAGTGTGAACGTAGCCTAAGAGCAATGTTATGAAGCTCTTTTACAAGGAGCAAAAGTTAATAATGAGGCAAGCCTAGCTGTTTGGAAGCAAGATTTGGGTCTGTCAATTAATGTAGACTTGGACACAAATTTGGTATTATTTTGGCAATATAGAAGAGCTACAGTTCAAACTTTTAAATCGTCTCCAAATTACTCCATTATGCAGACATAAGTTTAACCCAAACTATTCTCCATATTGTCTAAAGTGCAAAATAGAATAGGGTGACTTTGTTCACTGCACTTGGAAATGTGTACATATTAAAGCCTACTGGGTACATATTTGTAGGGGACTAAGTCTTATATTTAATAAAGGATGTGACATCAATCCACTTTATTTGTTGTTAGGTGTTGCTGATAAGAATATAAAGAGCATTTTGAACAGGAAGTTGTTTAATCTCCTTACTTATGCTGCTCGTAAGAGTATTGTTCTCAAATGGATCTCTGATTAAACCGGTGACAGTGTTGGAGTAGCATAAAGTAATATTTGATTTTCTTTCATTGGAATATATTACATACAGGTCAAAAGAGAAAATGGACGTGTTTTATCAGACAAGGACTCCTTTTTTCAAGTATATAGGTCCCAGGATTTCAGGTACCTTTTTGCAAAACCTTGGCAGATCAACATGAACATTTAAATTAATATTTATTTTTAAAGCTGTGGTTTATGTTGGAATGTACTTGTGGAATTTATCTGAAGTCATTGTTCTGTTTCTTCTATTGTTTTGTTGTTAAAATAAAGCATTAAAAGCAAAAAAAAAAAAAAAAAAGTTAGAATTTTCCAAAGCAAACCTACCACTTCAAACTGGTTTTAATCGACAATCCAGCATAATGTTAGCAAATACTCATATGTATTTCAAAATTTCTGTGTGCATCATCTGTGCTACATCTATTTAAACTCAAACAGTAATGACAAACCTTCTTTTGATTTTGTGCACTGATAATGTAGATGCCTTTTGTGTTGATAGCCGATGCCAGAGATAGAGAGGACAGCTCCACTGACCCATGACTCTCCTTGACTGTTTTCAACCATTCTATGTGTCTTGCAGAGTCACACTGAAACAGAGAAAATGAAACAGAGAAAATGTTGGTGAACAAGAAAATCTGAGTAGGGAACGAGACACTGCGTCCTCTAGGGGTCGCTATGGGGGACGCCTCATCGTGACTCGTGTCTGAAGCATACATTCAAAAAACACTAACACCACTGTGACGAGTGGGGGCGGGGCCGAGAGCCGTGGGAACGGAGCGAGGCCGGTGGAGTAATTAATAATGAGTGACACCTGCACCACTCACCGGGGCTCCCCCGGAGGGGGGAGGGGGGGAGTAGAGCGCAGTCTCGGCAAAGAAAAGCTATTTATTTAATCAGTTTATGTAACTACTTATTTATCTGAAGTTAATTTGAGGCTGTGACGAGAGGGGCGACACCTGCGCCACTCACCGGTCTCGAGTCTCACGGAGGAGCTCCGGAAGGATAAAAAGGAGGAGTAACGACAGTGAAAGGGGAGAGAGGATCAGGTCTGGACTTTATTTTGTGTTTTGGTTTTGTTTGTGCGCAACAGTCGTCCGCGAGGGGCTGTCGCGCGGTTTTGTGTTTATTTTATTATTAAAGTTTTCTTGGAGATCCAGTGCCGCCGCCAGGCATCGCGGAAGAGTTTACCCAGCTGGTGGAGGGCCGAGCGGCAGTGTGTCTGGGAACCGGACCCAGACAATTATTATTTTTTTTTTCCCTCTCGTCTCTGTCTCTCCTGATCCTTCCGTCTCCTGTTCTCTCACCTCGTCTGTCTGTCCTTACCCCCAGGTACGCTGCAGCCGCCGCGGGTCTCGTGGGTACCCCCCGGCCTGCAAGGGGCGATGGGGGTACGTGACGAGTGGGGGCGGGGCCGAGAGCCGTGGGAACGGAGTGAGGCCGGTGGAGTAATTGATAATGAGCGACACCTGCACCACTCACCGGTCTCGAGTCTCACGGAGGAGCTTCGGAAGGATAAAAAGGAGGAGTGTCGACAGTGAAAGACGAGAGAGGACCAGGCCTGGATTTTATTTTGTGTTTTGGTTTTGTTTGTGCGCGACAGTCGTCCGCGAGGGGCTGTCGCGCTGTTTTGTGTTTATTTTATTATTAAAGTTTGGTTTAAATGTTCGCCGGTTCCCGCCTCCTTCCCTAACTACGAACGTTGTTACAAACACGTTGGCCGGCGACAGCCCATGATGTCACTACTGGTGCGACTATAGTATAAATAGGTGCCGGGAGAACACATCATCCACTTCTTCATCTGAAGCTTGCGTCCGAAGCACGGCAGGAAACCTAGAGACGTTCCCTTTCAAGGGAACTTTAAACTGCGTCCACTACTTTGTACTAACATGTGAACTTACCACAGTGTGGATTTTAGAAAGTGTACAAAGACTTCACGTGCACACTTACCATAAAATTGGATTTAAAAATACTGTTCTAAGGGGCCCTCGTGGCACTCTGAAAGAGCAGCCCATAGACGGAAATGGTGCATCCCAAAAACACTATGTTTGAGAAGTCATCAACTCGATCTAAGGTATAATGCTAGCGAGTGGCTAGCAGTAAATCTCTAGCTGAGTGAGCAACACACCCCGTTTCTCAATCGAGAGGGGGGCTCGACCTGCAGCATGTTCCAATGCTGGAACAGCTAGCAGTAAGTTACCTAGCTGAGGGAGCACAACACCCAGCTCTCAACGAGAGGGGGCTCGACATTGTTCAAAAGTGAGTCAGCAGAGACACACTGGTTGAGTGGAGCCCAAGATACCGGGTTTAAACCAACTCAGAGAAAGGGAACGAAGCTAATAACGCGTAACCCTTACCATACAGGATTTCAGAAAGTGCGCAACGTCTAACGTGCACACTTGTCACTATGTGGATTTTAGAAAGTGCGCAAAGTGCTCAGCGTGCCCACTTACCACTATGTGGATTTTAGAAAGTGAGCAAAGTGTTCAGCGTGCACACTTACCACCCCATGTGGATTTCAGAAAGTGCACAAAGCTTAGCGTTTGCACTTACCATAGCATGGATTAAAGAGCTTCCCAAGCAGCTGTTCACAGATACCCGGAAGTGCTGACCCAAACGGGAGAGGCAAGCTCAAATACAACCCTCTAAGGTGAGGGGAGCACTGACAGCATTACACGA